TCGCGTGGTGAGGGATGTGTCCACTGATGATCCCCCATTTGTGCTTGCCGTCAGAGATTACCACGGAACATGCCCGGTGATGAATGGTTGTTGCTGTGTGGGTGTAACTCGATCTGAAAGCAATGGCCCTGCCCCTCCACTCTCCTGCCTTTTTCCCTGCCACCAGCGTCCATGCGTCATTTTCGGCAAAGGCGATGCCCACGTCCACGATGATTTCTTGGATGTGGACTAGGACGACCTGGCTGGGTGCAGCGTGTCCCCCGAAGTTGGTGAGGAAGTCCAGCACCTTTGGTGGCGTCCCCCCAAGTTCCAGGTACAGAGCAAGGGTTTGAATTCTGGTGCTTGCCTCAGTGGGTGAAACTGGGTCCATGGCTTCTTGCTCGTATCACCTCAGCACAGCCCCCAGCGGCTGCCACGCGTTCTGGACCGTAAAGGTTTGTATGATGTCGAATTTGGGCCTGCTAGTCCCCCGAATTCCTGTGATCGTCTCGGACAGGTGCATTGAAAAGAATCTAGGATTGTAGGCCAGTATGGGCCTGGTGGACTGAGCTTACCTGAGAAGGACCGAGAGGATGGATTTCTCCCCCCAGCCCTGTTTAAAGAGTTTGAATTCGAGGAACGATATGACAACGCTGGTAGTATGATATGTACAGAATGCATGCCCGTTAAGCGGGAAAAACAATTCCGGGGTCCCCCCAGTGCGGAGCAACACTGCAAACGCAAAACGTCGTGTTGGCAAGTCTTTCGGTATCAACCCAACTCTCTTCTTCGCCATCTTCTTCGCCAGGGCATAGGGAGCTGTTTAGCCCCCCCGGCCGTTAAGGCCCCCCATATGTTATGGGGCTTTGAGGAAGGCGTGAAAAGGTTGTGACTTCAGGGGGTTCCCGCTCTCTCTCGCTCTCTTGCTTGCTTGCTTGCTTGCTTGCGGCTACGGAGGAGAGTAACCTTGAGAACCCCCGCCCCTCCGCCACGCGCATGCGCACAGCCGAGTTCCTTGTCAAAGCCAGGGTCCCAGCTTTGTGCTGTCCCCCCGGCTCGGTGTGAAAGGGAAAGGCCCCCGATGTTCCGTTCAGTTACTCAAGAACAAAACAACAGCTTACATAGCTTGCTGAACGGAGTACCGAGTTTGTCTTCTCTCGCTCTCTCTCTCACTCACTCCCGGACTCTGACCGGTAACACTGTTTGGGGAAAAGGCATTCCCCAAAGCAACAACTCCCCAAAGCAAAAACTGCAAAAGACGAAAGTCATCCAGGCCTGTTGCCGAGTGTAGCATGTCTGTAAAAACTTGAGCTGCTCCTCTGAGAGCAAGGTGTCCTTTTTGTTCTGGAGCTCTGTTTCCAGAGCCTCAAAACCGAGTCAGAGCTCGCTTTTGTGAGACCTGAAATAGAGATAGTGCTTCTTGCAGCTGAGAAACCTCCACCTGCTTCCTGGGCGAAGCAACTCTAAGTAAGGTGGCCACACGGCTACAAGTATCAATCTGTCGCTTCCGGAAGCACACGGTAAATTCGGCCGACGGACCCTGCAAAAACCCAATTGCTTCTGATCCGCTTAGCTTACGCGCAACTCCTTGTCCTCGAACACTTCTGTTTATACCACGACTCCGGCAGTGGGCTGCTCACCAGTGCAAAGTGTGACCGCATGCTTGCCCGCTGATCATCGAAATCACGCTGAAGCAGCCATCTTCCCTAAATCTATGCCCCCGAAGAAACATGAGCGTGTGCTCAGCTGCTGGGAAGTCACTGCAAGGCTTGAGCCCGCTCCACGGCTTCATCTCGATCTGACCGTATGCGCCTCGGCAAAGAAAAGAGTGGATGTTGAGACTTAGCAAAGCCTAGGCTTCGGGTTTTTGCCTCGGCATCTCGTGCAGACTGGGTCTTCCAAAAGACCAGGGTTGCCTACCTACCCGATGCGACTTTCTACCGGAGACTCCGACATTATCCTCAAACTCTACCTAGTACGGTGAAGCAGGACACCACAGCCACTCTGGGAGACCACACGGACGAGCCGAGAGGCCGAATAGTGTGTTCACTCAAGAAGCAGAAAAACGTCGCCGAAATGGTGCCAAACTTATTGGGTTTGGGGGGAATTCGCTATCCTTTGTAAGCAATGCCGTGGGGTCGGCAGCGGATTCGGCGCATGAGGCGTGGACGACCTCGCCCTTGTACTCTGAACAAGAAAACTCCCTAGTGTTACAATGCTGTTGGGGGAAAAAGGCATTGCAAAAGGGTGTGCAACAGCGGCCCAGAAGGAGGGAGAGAATGTGTGTGTTTGCGTGCCAGTGTGTGTGTGTGTGTGTTCATGAAGACGGCTTGGGCCTCTGACGACCAGGACGAACCTGCTGTCACGCTGCATGCTGGGACAGAGTTATTGATCTTTCACTTTTTGGGAATCAACTGCTCAACACTTATGGCCTTATGTCGCATAAAGCGATTCTTGCAAGCCAAAGCTCTCCATTTCCCTGGCCAGCACGTGGACTGCAGTCTGTTGTTCCTCACGAAGAACGTGACACTGCTCTGCGAGACATTCGGGCGGCTGGCGTCGCTAAGCTTTTGAAGGAAATGCACCTCCAGCGCAGTCGATGTGGATGATGAAGCTAGCTCTTCAATGCCCTAGCCAACGGGGCGAACTAGAGCAGCCGCTTACAGCACTTCGGATTGTCCCACCTTCAGCTCACGTGCTTTGCGGGAGGCACGTGCTTGAGTGGCTTTGCTGAGATGCAGCTGGACGTGCTCCAGCAGCTCGGCCCTACCAAAGGGCTTCCTGAGCGAGCTCTCTGAGAAGGCTCGGGGCCCCTCTTGTCGTGTTCACTTTCAGGTCGTATCCGGCTGCAGGAGGTATATGTTTGTCGGCTGAAGTCGCGTTCCATACCATGTCGTCATGCTTTTGCAGTGCTAGCGCTTCAAAGATCCAATCTTTTGTAAGGTCAGGCATTTGGCGCTTCGGCACCTGTCCGAGCTCCAGTCTCGCCAAGCATCATGATATAATCGTTCGCACCCAGCTTCGCAAATTCGGACACGGTCTCCTCTTCAGCGAGGCACTTCTGGATCTCAATCTTTGCGTTACTGAAGGACTTACGAGCTGTTGCAACTGGTGCCTGTCTGCACACCGCACTCACGATGATGATTGGGAGCTGCTCTGGGGTGTACAATTTGCGAACAGATCGCCTTGGATGTGCAACCGTTACTGTACTACTGTATCAGTGACGGAACAATGTAGAAGTAAGCCCCCAGTCCAGAGGAGGAGCAGAAGCAAGATCTTGTGATGGTGAAATCAGTGGTCAGTCGCAGCTGCCGGCGGTGATGGTACAAGGGCTGTAAAATGGCCCTAAAGCAGTTCCGGTTATCACGGGGTCGACAGGGGGTATGCAGGGGGGGAGGGATGCCATGCCTATTTTTCCAGCGGCACATTTGCAGCGACGTGACGGTTGTCCAAAACAAAGCAGAAAAAATAGCGTCAAAATAAGCCCGAAATAGCGTTGCAAAAATAAGCCAGAAATAACCTCAAAATAACCCAGATGTGCCGAAGCTACAGCTGAGAAAAGAAGCTCCGTTCCAAGTCTTGGTCATCGCAAAGACGCAACAAAGGCAACTCTCCACTGTCCCATATACGCCACGAGACGGGTCTAGTGTATGGATTAATCACGAGAGGTGCAGATCGGAAATGCGCTGTGTGCTTAGGAGGCAGCCGACAAGCTGGGCCTGCACATAGAGTTGTCCTTTGGGGGGCTACCTGCCGTCTTGAGCGAAAAGATTGCCGTTGCAGCAAGAAAAGCAGCTAAGTGGCAGCACCCGTTGGCCACTCATGCCAGGCATCATAACCTCAGATCTGCATGCTCATTTTATGGACTTTGGCGCCCAGTCAACTCACCCGCAACAAATCGTTTCAGGGGGTGGCATCCAGCATCACTAGTTGCACGCTTCGCATCTTCAAGAACTGCACGGCTTGCTCCCCGTCAGCAGCAGCATAGACCTGCCAAGTTCCAAAGCCACACCGGGCAGTATTGGCGGGCGACATGACATGTCGAGCACGTGTCGAGCAAAAAGAGGCTGAGCTTGAGAGAGCCCCGCCTTCATTGCGTGTTGATTCAACCTGAGCTAGATTGCTTGTACCCGTCAAAGCTAAGGCAGCCAAAAGAGCAGAATTTCTTTGAGTGGCAAAGACCGGACCACCTCGAGGTGGACCGGATCATCATCCACGCAGAGGATGGTCGGGCCCCCATCGGCCTCTCTGTCACGGACAGAGTAGAGTACACGGTGCTCAAACGGCGGTCCCGGTCCCCCGGCGCCTCTGTTACGGAGAAGGCGTGGCTCATGGTCGCCGTTTCCAGACTGCATTCTGAAGCAGCGTTGTTGCTCCGCGCCGTGAAATGTCTTTCTGCAGTTTCTGGCTCCTTGCCTCGTGTGGTAAGCTGCTTCTGAGTCTCTGACATGTCACAGCAGAAACTGCACTCAGACTACAAGTAGCTTAGCCATGCGACTTGCAAGATCCGGGGTCTTCTTCCGTCGGCGAGTCCTGAGCTGCAAGCACACGCCCTTCCTCCCGACTCACATGTCAGGGTGCAGCCGTAGATGCCCTGACTTCTGGCTTTCGTGGCTCCTCTGGCTCATCGAGCCGCCCTGACAGCACCGTGCCGAAGCACGACGACTACCACGACTACTCCACACGATGGCTGGAGCGGTTCGGCTTTCCGCTGGGCGCCCGGCCCGGACTGCGACCGTCTCGGCCGTTAACGTAGAGTTCTCCTCTTCCTCCTTCGGCACTTCGGCAGCCACGGGGCACACAAAAACGGCAGATCGTGGCTTTGCCGCTTGAGATGTGCGAAGCGCCTCCTCGTCCATGTCTTGAGACTTCATCTTATAGGGCAAGGAGACACCTGAGACGAAGGCGTTGCGGTTCGCTCTCTCCGCTGCCAGGATCCAGCAATCGTGAGATCTACAAGTCCCGATCTGCTTCTGCACGAAGACATGCATCACGCCCATCAGATTTCACTAGAAAGGGGCAGTCATATGTGCCTTTGCAATGCATGGATGTATGAGAGAAAGAAAGAAGAGAGAGAGAGAGAGAGAGAGAGAGAGAGAGAGAGAGAGAGAGAGGAGGGAGAGAGAGAGGGAGAGAGCGAGACAGCAGCTCGAGATCGTAACATGAAGACATGCTACGATGCCCAGCTGTTCGGCCACATGCAAGTACCGCGTAGGGAGATGGGCATCGCACATGATTTTGAAACACTTGACCCCTGTCTCAGTAACTGTCTCAATGATCCAATGAACATAGCGGACATAGCGGGAGGAGATGCGATCCAGGGATGCTATACGATGGCCCCAAATCGCAAAATAAAATAATTACATGTTGTACGGAGACTGAGCCTTTCGATGCAAACCATGTCGCAGCATGCCACTTGCACGATTCCGCATCTACGGGAAAGCAAGGTTTTTCCAAAGAACTTGAACGCTGCCCTAGCGCAAAACATATTGAGCACACTGCATAATGTACAGTGCAATCACTGTACAGGAAATGGTTGGATAAGAAATGTAGGAGCTACGTCAGTCGGATAGCTTCAAAAAGCCGAACATGTAACCTGCCTTCTAACTAAGACATGAATGGTACCCAACGTCCTGATAGCATTTCTTATTTGGCTGGGTGGTTCGTTTCTTAAATCAGATATTCTCAAGCCTCGACAACCCCTAAAATAAGAACTTGCAGGGGGCTACAACTCTTACGTTCGTGATATCCAGGCCCTAAGCCGAAAGACACAAGGCAAAGGCCAAAATAAGAAATGTAGGGGGCTACGTTTGTTATTTTCGTGGTTTCCAGGCCCTAAGCCGAGGGCACAAGGCGAAACCCTCCGGGGGCCACGTTCCTAATGGCAAAAAAAGCCTGCGGCTCAGTACCTAGACTTCCATGGGCTCGGGCCCCGGCTAAGAAACGAGCAAGAAATGGAGGGTACCCAGCGATTCGGGAGCATGTGGAAATGTGAAACTACAAGGACAGCAAGAAATGAAGGGCTGCCAACGCTGGGAGCTGGCCTTTCTTATCCAGCAAACACACTGCAACTGAAGACAAAGCTGGGGGGGTGTCAGTAGGCAGTCCCACAAACGGTCAGAGCACACTTTACGTCCTGCTCCCCCATGATGTCCCTCCTGGCTGGATTGGATTCGAACATGCAGAATGAAATAATGCGAATAGTATTGGTTTTTCATCCGCTCCCGAGCTTAAGAACACCCAGAGCGACAAGATCGGCAATCCCGATGCAGAAGTCCAACACACACCAACATAGTAGGATCCTAGACCCGAAACCGTCGTGGTACCCTAGGAGCCTTAATGTGGCGGGGGGCCCTAACCCGCACCCTCCACCCCTGGAAAACAGAACAACCCGCTCGAAGCCCAGGCGCGGAAGGTGGAGCCCACGCCTTGCTCGGACTCCACGACCAAGTCGCCACCGTGCTTCCGGACTACCTGAAGTAAAACACACACACACACAAACACAAACATGAAAAGACACCTTCATCAGGTATGTATAACTATCAACAACAAACAAGGGTCAATCTATATGACACATTGATGGATAATGAGCTTTTAACAAAACCTTCTCTCGGGTAGTCCTTCCCCCCCTGCCTCGCGGCTGATGGACAGGCCAAGCCCAAGCCCGGAATACTGTCGACTCTCCGAAGTGTCCTGTGACTAGGGAATCCCCGAAAGGGTTCAGCATTCAGCTGGGTTGCGGGGATTGCAGGATGTGTTGTTTGGGCCTGTTTAGGCCGTTTAGGCGGCAGGGCGCTCCAGTGCGCACTCTCAAATCAGCATCCAGTGCGCACTGTTTTTGCATCCAGCGCGCACTCCTCAAATTTGAGGACCTTGGGGTTTAAAGGCTTTGGGTTTCAGGGTTTACCCTAAGGTTTCCGGGCTTTAGGGTTTACGGTTTAGGGTTTTGGGTTCAAGTTTTACGGTTTTTTTCGCTCTCGCATGGCTGAGGATCTATGAAGGGTTTACGGTTTCGGGTTTAAGGTTGTGGTTTACGGTTTAAGGTTTAGGGCTTTGGGTTTTGGATTCAGCAGTTCTGACCTTGAGTTCTCTTTTGAAGCTATCTTCAAGAATAAGCCCCACCCGCCCAAAGAATCCCACACAATAGAAAAAACCAAACCAAAACGAAAATGATCAAAGTGCCCCACCCTCAGGAATCCCTAAAAATGAAAATGATCAAAGTTCCCTGTCCTCAGGAATCACCAAAAATGAAAATGATCAAAGTGCCCCGCCCTCAGGAATCACCAAAAATGAAAATGATCAAAGCACCCCGCTCTCAGGCCAACATTGACGAATTTTGATCAAGGCCACGAAAATGATCAAAGGCCAAGAATTAATGACCAAGATACAGGGTTAATGACCAAGAGGCATTAAAATGATCAAAGGCATTAATGATCAAAGGCCGCGAATTCATACGAAAAACTGGCCCAAAGCCACGAAAATGATCAAAGGCCACGAATTAATGACCAAAGGCCACGAATTAATTAATGACCAAGAAATAGGAAAGTGATAAAAGGCCACGAAACAATGATCAAAGGCCACGAATTAATGACCCAAGGCCACGAACTAATACGAAAAACTGACCCAGAGCCACGAAAATGATCAAAGGCCACGGGTTAATGATCAAAGGCGGCGAATTCATGACCCAAGGCCACGAATGAATACGAAAAGCTGATCCAAAGCCACGAAAGTGATCAAAGGCCAAGAATTACTGACCAAGAGATAGGTACATGATCAAAGGCCACGAATTAATGACCAAGAGACAGGAAAATGAGCAAAGGCCACGAATTAATGATCAAAAGCACCGCATGACTATAAGGTTTACATTACTATAGGTCGAGAGGTTCAGGCTTTAGGGTTTTAGGGTTTAGGGGTTTTAGGGTTCAGCAGCTCCGGGTCGAGCAGTTTCTAGCCGAGCTGAACTCCGGAAATCATCCCACCCACCCAAGATTCCCATATCATTAGGAAACCATGATACTTTTATTAAACCTTAAGCTGAAAGCCAAATCCTTGGTCCTACCTAAACTTTAAAGCCGACCCACAGCCCTGAGCCCTAAACCCTAAAGCCAGCTTATGGGTTTCCCCCCAACCCGCCCTCGAACCAAAAAGTGAGCAAAATCCAACGAGGGGAAATTCGATTTGTTGAATGCTCAAAAGTGAGCAAAAACCAACGAAGGGAAATGAAGATTGAAAATAGCTACCGATTCGTTGGAATTGCTCAACAGTAAGCAAAAACCAACGGATGGATATGAAGATTGCGTCAGAAACACTAACAATTCATTGGCTTTTGCTCAAAAGTCAGCAAAACCCAACGAACGAAAATTCGATTCATTGGTTCTTGCTCAAAAGTGACTAAAAACCAACGAATGGAAATGAAGATGGCGCCAGAAATCATAACGATTCGTTGGTTTTGCTCGAAAATGAGCAAACACCAACGAAGGTCACTAAGGTTTAAATACATACTGCTTAGGGTTTATAGGGTTTGTGGTTTAGGGTTTGGGTTCAGGCTTTACGGCTTTAGGGGTTAGGTTTTGGTTTAGGGTTGTGGGTTCAGGTTTTAGGGTTTAAGAGTTTAGGGTTTAGGGTTTACGGTTTAAGGTTATGGGTGCAGGTTTTAGGGTTTTACGCTCTCACAACTCGGACTAGCCAGGCGAGGTCCATGGTTTTAGGGTTTAGGGTTTACGGTTTACGCTCTCACAACTCGGACATGCAGGATTTAAGGTCTTGTATTCAGGCCTCAGGGATTTAGGGTTTAGGGTTTACGGTTTAGGGGTTTTGGGCTCAGGCTTTAGGGTTTTAGGGTTTAGGGTTTAGGGTTTCGGGTTCAGGGTTTACGGTTTTGGGTTCAGGTTTTAGGGTTTTAGAGTTTTAGGGTTTAGGGTTTACGATTTAGGGTTTAAGGTTTTGGGTTCAGGTTTTAGGGCTTTAGGGTTGCGACTCTCACACTCGCACAAGCAGGCAAGGCTCCTCGTAGTTCGTTCTCCGCAAAAGCGATTTAAGGTTTGGGGTTTTGGGTTCAGGTTTTACGGTTTTGGTGATTTGGGGTTTAGGGTTTCGGGTTTACAGTTTATGGCGTAGGGTTGAGGGTTTAGGGCTTTTGGGTTTTAGAATTTCACGGTTTTGGTTTTAAGGTTTGAGGGCGGTAGGGTTTCAGGGTTGGGGGTTCAAGGGTTCAGGGTTTAGAGGTTCAGGGTTTAGAGTTTAGGGCTTTGGGGCTTAGGCCTTACTGTTTAGGGCCAGTTTAGGGTTTACGGCTTAGGGTTTTAGGGTTTCCTTTCCGTGTTCAAGGCCTAATCCGAGGATCTGATTAACAAAAGGCCAAAAACAAATTTTCGGGCCCGGATTGGGGTCGGAAGAGGAGTTTCAATTGCGGGTGGGTTTCGTGCCGGGAAAAGGTCTCACATTTAAAGAAAAATATTTTGAGGGTCTCGGCTGCTCCTGCAGTCTTTGCTTTTGTTGGCTTGCTTCTCTAATACGCAAGCAAAGCTTCTCTGACAACCCGGCCCTGTCCCAGCAGCAGAGGCTGCCCTCCGAGCCCAAGCTTTTTCCTAAAGCTGAAGCCTCTCAGAAAGCCAGGCTTCCTTATTAATTCGCTTATAAACGGAAGCCATTTTTCAGTTCATTCTGTCCTGAGCTACCCCTTATGGTGCCTGCCCGGCAAGAGCTCGATCCAGATTTATAAAAGGTCTCACATTTATAGCCAGCCCCCGGGGCCGTCTTCACTGCTCCTGCAGTCTTTGCTTTTGTTGGCTTGCTTCTCTAATACGAAAGCTAATAAAATCCAAAAGAGCCCCAAACACCCAAGAGATGGTTGTCCATTCATACGACGCTCTCAATTTTAATTCTGAGGGGGGGGGGTCCCCACCACTAATCAGATCCTCGGATTTTTTCCCACCCGCCCAGCCGACTTATTAGGTTTTAGGGTCTTACGCTCTCACAACTCGGACATGCCTGGCGAGGTTCATGGAGCGAAGTCGGTGTGAAACAGGACTGAGAATCCCCAAATACACAAGATTTTAGGGTCTTAGGGTTCAGGGTCTGGGGTTTAGGGTGCATGCGCCTGGTCCCGGGGCTGCGTGGGTGTGGGCAGGGGATCACATTCGTGCGTGCGCAGATGCATGCGTAGTGCGTTCATGCGAGCAAGCATGTGCCGTGTGGGTGTACGCACATTGCTGCGTGCGTGCACGCAGTTTCTGCCTCAGGCATCGTGCATGCATGCGTGCACGCGTGTGGCAACGTGTGTGGGCGGGGGATGGCGTGGGCTCACAGTCGTGCGTGCGGCCTAGCATTTCTGCTTCGAA